AGGACTTTACAAACACTCGCAGCTCTCTTGGCAAAAAGAGAACAAGCTTAGCCACCACACACACACACCTCAACCCCCCCCCCCAAGCTCTGGAACCAAAGAGCCAGAGCTCAACCCCCGCAAGCACAATTTGGTGAGTACACACACACACACACACACAAAATCTACAAAATCCTCAGGGGAATCGACCGGGTAAACAAGGATGAACTATTCAACACTGGTGGGACGCGAACAAGGGGACACAGGTGAAAGCTGAGTACCCAAATGAGCCACAGAGACGTTAGAAAGAACTTTTTCAGTGTCAGAGTAGTTAGTAAATGGAATGCATTAGGAAGTGATGTGGTGGAGGCTGACTCCATACACAGTTTCAAATGTAGATATGATAGAGCCCAGTAGGCTCAGGAATCTGTACACCAGTTGATTGACGGTTGAGAGGCGGGACCAAAGAGCCAGAGCTCAACCCCCGCAAGCACAATTAGGTGATTAGGTGAGTACACACACACACATACACACACACACACACACACACACACACACACAGACACACACAGACACACACACACACACACACAATATCCCACATTTCTATAACTTTTTCTTCACCAGTACCTCTCCAACCCCTCTATATCTGGTATAGCAACCCCTCCCCCCTTCTTTATTGAATTGCAAGGTTGCAGGTTTTAACCCGTGGATGACACACAATGTGAAGGAACACGCTCACTGGCTGCTGAAGCAACTGCTACTCAAGGCCACCCCATTACTGTGGTCAACAGGGACAGAATGATGTCCAGGAATCGAACCCGGGTCATCTCGTTTACAAGGCAAGCAGAGGATGCCATACCACAGAGTGCTATCCCCCCCTCCCCTCCCCCCATTTGCCGAGTGACTCACCCTTTGGTCAGGTATCACCCCCCCCCCTAATCACCCCAGACTAGTCTCCCCCCTTCACCCTTTGACCATGCCACCCCCCCCCCCCTCCTTGCCACTTTGCTCAGGTACACCCATCTCTGGCATAGTGATGCCTGCCCCCCCCCCTCCCCCCTGTAGCGAACAACAGCCGTGTTTATTTTAGTCTACCACAGGGCGCGGTGCCCCCCTCCTACCCGACTGCATATTCCGAAGTAGCCCGCTGGTCTCCTGGGCCCAGATTCACGAAAGCACTTACGAACGTGTACATCTTTCCTCAATCTTTGACGGCTTTAGTTACATTTATTAAACAGTTTACAAGCATGAAAACTTGCCATTCAACTGTTGTTATTGTTATAAACAGCCTCCTGGTGCTTCGGAGCTCATTACCTGTTTAATAATTGTAAACAAAGCCGGCAAAGATTGAGAAAAGATGTACAGGTTCGTAAGTGTTTGCTTAAGTACTTTCGTGAATCTGGTCCCTGAACACTGTGGCGCACGGCCAGCTAATCTACACAACCATAAAGTCGCTGGCTGTATCACGGTCGTAATCCTGTGGATAACGAGATACTTAAAACTCAAGCCACCGTGTCCGAGCATAACAGGATGGACACAGTGGATGGATACAGTGTAGAGGCGGGACCAAAGAGCCAGAGTTCAACCCCCCCCGCAAGCACAACTAGGTGAATACGGTGATGAATAGCCACAGAGATATTAGAGAGAACTTTTTTAGTGTCAGAGTGGTTGACAAATGGAATGCATTAGGAAGTAATGTGCTGGAGGCTGACTCCATACACAGTTTCAAGTGTACATATGATAGAGCCCAATAGGCTCAGGAACCTATGATAGAGCCCAATAGGCTCAGGAACCTATGATAGAGCCCAATAGGCTCAGAACCTATGATAGAGCCCAATAGGCTCAGGAACCTATGATAGAGCCCAATAGGCTCAGGAACCTATGATAGAGCCCAATAGGCTCAGGAACCTGTGATAGAGCCCAATAGGCTCAGGAACCTGTACACCTGTTGATTGACGGTAGTCTCTTCAACGGACCACTTTCTCGGGTCCGTAATTCTCGCCAAATGTGTACTCACCTAGTTGTGTTTGCGGGGGTTGAGCTCTGGCTCTTTGGTCCCGCCTCTCAACCGTCAATCAACAGGTGTACAGATTCCTGAGCCTATTGGGCTCTATCATAGGTTCTGAGCCTATTGGGCTCTATCATAGGTTCTGAGCCTATTGGGCTCTATCATAGATTCTGAGCCTATCGGGCTCTGTCATATCTACACCTGAAACTGTGTGTGTGTCCTTCAGGTCAATGGCTGTGGTGGACGCGAACCTGAATGTGAAAAAGAGCAAGGTAGACGAGGGCGAGCGGCGGTGATACTTGGCACCCCTCGACGGAAGACTGGCCCTGGCACCACGCTATGGCAAGCATGGCTCTCCTCCCATCTGTGACGTCAACACCAGATAACACCACAAATCCGCCCAGTTGCATCCACAGGACCGACTGGCGCCCAAGGGAGGGTGTCTAAAGGGAGGGTTGTTTAAGGGAGGGTTGTCTAAGGGGTGTCTAAGGGAGGAGGGTGTCTAACGGAGGGTGTCTAACGGAGGGTGTCTAAGGGAGGGCTGTCTAAAGGGAGGGTTGTCTAAGGGAGGGTTGTCTAAGGGAGGGTTGTCTAAGGGAGGGTTGTCTAAGGGAGGGTTGTCTAAAGGGAGGGTTGTCTAAGGGAGGGTTGTCTAAAGGGAGGGTTGTCTAAAGGGAGGGTGTCTAAGGGAGGGTTGTCTAAGGGAGGGTTGTCTAAGGGAGGGTTGTCTAAGGGAGGGTTGTCTAAGGGAGGGTTGTCTAAGGGAGGGTTGTCTAAGGGAGGGTGGTCTAAAGGTGTCTAAGGGAGTGTCTAAAGGAAGCTCTATGGTGGACCGTCCAACGCCTGTCAACTTCTACCCCTTATGGAGTTGAGGACAATTTCAAGATATTACTTACATCCTGGTGGGAGGGAGGGAATTATCAGGGGAAGGCGCTAAGCCATTACTATATAGCACCACCGTCGCTCTACCGTCCAACCCAAGCGGTTGGGCTATGACAGCGGAATTTACCCCACTTAAGTCGATACATAAACGCGCGCGTGCTTACGCACGTAAGCGGTGTGCTTGTTTGGCCGAGTGTCAGCTCCTGGCCCCGCCTTTACAGCTGTCAGTCATTTTAATCCACAAACTCCCAACCTACTTGACACACACAGTAAAATATTTAAGCCTAGACTCTCTCCTCCTGTAGTTTATTATATATATTCAGTACTCTCTTATAAAACAAATGTATCCGGCACAATCTCATGGCTCATCGGCGTTTCTAGCTTCTTATCCACTTTATCAATGCCACTTAGGATTATAAATGTCGCGATCATGTCACCCCGTTAGCATCTAAGAAGCTCAACGGCCCTTGCGGATTTGTTCACTCTTCAAGGCTTTGAAAAATAATACAACACAATCCATCAACTCAAAATTGTTGATCTTGTCACATCCATTCATAAAAAGGACCAGGAAGCAAATATTAAGAGCAGAGAGAGGAAAAAAAAATAGAGTACAGATCTCACAAATGAGCACCAAAGAGAATCTTGCAGTCTCCGTGGTGTAGTGGTAAGACACTCGCCTGGCGTTCCGCGAGCGCTATGTCATGGGTTCGTATCCTGGCCGGGGAGGATTTACTGGGCGCAATTCCTTAACTGTAGCCTCTGTTTAACGCAACAGTAAAATGTGTACTTGGATGAAAAAACGATTCTTCGCGGCAGGGGATCGTATTCCAGGGACCATAGGATTAAGGACTTGCCCGAAACGCTACGCGTACTAGTGGCTCTACAAGAATGTAACAACTCTTGTATATATCAAAAAAAAAAAAAAAAAAAAAAAAAAAAATCACGGTCTGGGTCACTTACAGGATGGACGCGGCCATTTTCAAAGCACAAGGACAAACACAACGTTCAAGGACAAACACAACGTTCAAGGACAAACACAACGTTCAAGGACAAACACAACGTTCAAGGACAAACACAACGTTCAAGGACAAACACAACGTTCAAGGACAAACACAACGTTCAAGGACAAACACAACGTTCAAGGACAAACACAACGTTCAAGGACAAACACAACGTTCAAGGACAAACACAACGTTCATGGACAAACACAACGTTCATGGACAAACACAACGTTCAAGGACAAACACAACGTTCATGGACAAACACAACGTTCAAGGACAAACACAACGTTCAAGGACAAACACAACGTTCAAGGACAAACACAACGTTCAAGGACAAACACAACGTTCAAGGACAAACACAACGTTCAAGGACAAACACAACGTTCAAGGACAAACACAACGTTCAAGGACAAACACAACGTTCAAGGACAAACACAACGTTCAAGGACAAACACAACGTTCAAGGACAAACACAACGTTCAAGGACAAACACAACGTTCAAGGACAAACACAACGTTCAAGGACAAACACAACGTTCAAGGACAAACACAACGTTCAAGGACAAACACAACGTTCAAGGACAAACACAACGTTCAAGGACAAACACAACGTTCAAGGACAAACACCTGGAAACTTTGGGAATCTATCCGCGAGACACACTAAAAACAGTGACATTCTAAGACGTAAATAAATGGAAAAAAAAAGGCATACACAATGCGAATATAAAAAGAATATATAGATATATTATATATAAACACAAGCAGGATGTAAACAAAATATTAAGATTATCAAATCAAGTTAGAACAAGGACAAATTTAGATTTATAAGTAATAAAGAAAAGGCAAACACTGGTTAGGAGTCCTAAACAAGTTGTTGTATTGAGTCCTAAACAAGTTGTTGTATTGAGTCCTAAACAAGTTGTTGTATTGAGTCCTAAACAAGTTGTTGTATTGAGTCCTAAACAAGTTGTTGTATTGTGTTTTTACAACACTACTCGTTGTGTTGTTGTTCTATTGTGTTGTAGGCGAGGCTGTTGTGTTCTCACGTGTCACTGTGCAAAGTCTGTACCTAATTATGGGTGTAATTCCTTAACTATGTATAACGTGAATGTGACGTTTGTGCCTTACCTTGGTTTTAATTCGGAATATTTTACTGTACTGTTTCTTGATCCTGATGTTGGGGAGACGTCGTCCGGCGTGTCCAGGGGTGGTGGGGGAGGTGGGGGAGGTGGGGGTGGTGGGGGAGGTGGGGGGGGTGGTGGGGGAGGGCGGTGGGTGGTGGTGGTGGTGGTGGTGGTGGCGGCGATCCATGCTGTCAGTAGAAGGGGTGGTGGGGGAGGGAGGTGGTGGATGGTGGTGATCCATGCTGTCAGTTGTGGTGGTGGGGGGAGGTGGGTGTTGGTCCATGCTGTCAGTAGAAGGGGTGGTGGGGGAGGGCGGTGGATGGTGATCCATGCTGTCAGTAGTGGGGGTGGAGGGGGAGGGCGGTGGGTGGTGGTGATCCATGCCGTCAGCGGTGGGGGAGGTGGGCTCAGCCGTGGGGGAGGTGGGGTCAGGGGGGGAAGGGGGCACGGGGGTAGAGGGTGCAGAAGGTGGAGAATCCAAAGGGGCAGGTCGCCGCCTCTTCCCAGCAGAGGGCGTGTCCGGCAGCTCCACCACCTCCACTTCCAGGGTATCCATCATGGCTGCCACCCCCTCTACCACTCCACTTCACAGCAACCTTCACACACCCTCAATACCACGAGGACATAAACGCACTCACTTCCCCGTTGTCACCGATAGATAAGCACTATTAAGTAACACCACAAGTCCTCTTATAACAGTATCCACTTAACAACACACACACTATTTCCAGTTTCTATCTCCGCATCTATTTCCGGCCGCTATTATCTCCCACGAGGTAGTAGGAGCTTTTTCTACACCACAGTCAAGACGGTCACAGCTTCCCTTGCCAACACCGGCTCAGATCTTCAGGGGAAACAAGGAGGGCCTTACGATTATACATAACCACTACACAAAACACAAATATATAAAAAAAATAATAGCAAAAATACAAAATATTTTTCGCAAAATAAGCAAAAAAATTAGCGATTCCCCAGCCTATTTCCCACATAAAAACTATGGAAATAAATAAATTAGTGGGTACAAAATTGTCTCCCATCACGTTGTATGATATCTACTGTGTTCCCAGCTCTTTTGTCTACCTGCCTTGTGTCTACCTCGGGGATCAACGACCGCGCGGCCCGGTCTCCGCCCAGGCCTGGTTGTCAGTCAACCAAGGGACCTCACTCCATGGAGACAAATGGATGGAGCTCAAAAGCATACCTGATCAACCAGGCTGTGATTCATACGTCAGGCTGCGAGCAGCCGCGTCCAATAGCCTGGTTGACCAGTCCAGCAACCAGGAGGCCTGGTCGGGGGACCGGGCCGCGGGGACGCTAAGCCCCGAAATCATCGCAAGATAACCATGGCAAATGGTCCGTTTCATTGTGATAAATGGTCCAGCATTGTGAAGGTCCGTTGCACCACCTCTAACGATAAGATTTTTTTTTTTTTACAATGTTAAGAACTTTGTTAATTCTCCTTTAGTCTCAATGTTCTTGTGGCATACAGCACATTGATTCCTTTTGAATAGTAGAGGGAGAGTAGTTGAAAAGGAAAGGGGAAAGGAAGAGGAAAGGGGGAAAGGAAGAAGAAAGGGAGAGAAAGAAAAAGAGAGAGGGGGAGGGGAGGGAGGGAGAGAGCGAGAGAGAGCAAGAGAGCGAGAGAGAGCAAGAGAGAGCAAGAGAGCAAGAGAGCGAGAGAGAGCAAAAGAGCAAGAGAGCGAGAGAGAGAGAGCAAGAGTGCAAGAGAGCGAGAGAGCGAGAGAGCGAGAGAGAGCAAGAGAGCGAGAGAGAGCAAGAGAGCGAGAGAGCAAGAGAGCGAGAGAGAGAGCAAGAGAGCGAGAGAGAGAGAGCAAGAGAGCAAGAGAACGAGAGAGAGTGCAAGAAGAGAGAGTGCAAGAGAGCCTGACTCACCTCAGACCATCACCTCACCACGGCCACATCTCACCCATAACATAACCAGCCTCCAACAAAGGCCACCTAGCTACTACACTCTCCCAACACACCATTTCTCCTTCACAATACCCTCTGCCAAATGTGCCAACATTATAAGATACAAACTTAAAACAAATTTTCGTACAAAAATAAGTGTTTACCCTAAAATTGTATGAAGCGGTATTCGGAGACAAATAATAGAGCTTCGGCCTCTGGAATGTTGACCAGATCACACACTAGAAGGTGAAGGGACGACGACGTTTCGGTCCGTCATGGACCATTCTCAAGTCGATAAACATAACATTCTCTATGGAATGTATATGTCCACGGAAGTGTGGATGATAATTTACATATGTACGCATGAATTAATTTGACAAATAATTTTAAGCTCATTTTGTTTTTATTTACACAAAGTAAATCATTCTTTCGATTACTCAGTAAAAAAAATTATTAAACCCTAAGCTACTCCACCTAGCCTACCGCAGCCGATAATTAGTCCCATGAAGCGTCAATATTGTGGTGCTTTTAATTTCGATAAACCACCGCAGTTTTTACGTTGGGGGGTCGCGTTGTTTAACGTTGAATTCATCAGGGGAAATGCCCTCGGCTACAAGGGACACGCGTGTAGTCGCCCTCGGCTACAAGGGACAATGTCAGCTATGATTTCTATGCAGTTCTTTCATCAATATACGTAAGCATGAACCTTACCACTGACGCTAACGAGGCAATTCTTCGCCTTTGGCATAATTTCCTCCTCAAGAAGTTCCGATTTTCTCAACTTCTTCACTAGATCTGTAATATACTCGCGCAATAAAAGTATACATCAAATGTGTACCGTTTTATGTTTAACAACACTATTATACAAGATATTATTTTTGACAGTTCACTAACGAGAAAAACATCCACCCTCTCTGAAAAAACTATTACTCAAAGCCCTATTATGAAAAAGGCCAGCTAAAGAACACCCGGCATTTTCAAATGAATATCTTTACCCAATGTTGAGAAATCAATGAATATATAAACCAAATTAGTTTGGTCTCGTAAACAATCACTGAACGTAGATACGTACATTCAACCTAAAAATAAACGCAAGTTAAATTGATCTCACGTGTTGTTCGTTTGTTATTTTACCTAATTCAGCTACTCGGATCAAAATGTCCATGTAGCACGGGCTATAGTGAGCCCGTAAGAATATCTCGCTGATTGATTGATTGATTGATGAAGATTAAGCCACCCAAGAGGTGGCACGGGCATGAATAGCCCGTAAGTGGTGGCCCTTTCGAGCCATTACCAGTATCAAAAGATGATACTGGAGATCTGTGGAGGCGCAACTGCACCCTGCGTGACGGGAGATGTCTCCCGGACCAAGTGGTGACCAAATGGTCAATATCTCGCTAGCATAGGCTACAACTTATAGCCAACATGGTAAGGTGAATTTCCATTTTGTTTTCAATACTGCGATGTCGAGCCTCAGTGGCCAGTCAGGTTCCTCGTGTCCTGGCGTACTTCACAGGGAATGTCTAGCTTAACGCCCCGCGATTGGTTAAAATAAAATTTACTCTACGTCTCCCTCCACATCAACACACACACCCGTTACGCCCTCACATCAACACACCCGCCACATCAACTCCCAGCGTAAGGCTTAACGTTAAACATTCCTTGCGACCGGGCTTCCTGCATAGTTGCCAGAACCACCAAGTTCCTCTAGGCTGTCCCAGTGATACCAAGGTTATCTCCCTCAAATTCGCACATACTTGCACACTCACACATATATCATATATAAAACATTTTAAATATATCAACGCAAAACGACACACACACACTAAACAATTACTGTAAATTGGGGAAATGCCTGGTATATACGTGTTTGAAAATAGGGTTGTAAATTGATGGAACAAATTACATGGTAACATAATACACACGTGATCACTGGGTTATTTCGGGCGTAGGCTAGACATAAATTAACAGTTTTCGTGGACATAATTAGGAGCAGCCTCGTATAGATCCACTGTTATTTCTCCTAATTTTCTTTACAGACCCGCATGACTGACATACTCACATACATGCGCATACTCATACCTCACTCATCACATCGCCACTCTCATTCACCCTACCTCACGCTTCCTGATATTCGCATCCACATCAATCACTTTACGGGCTATTCATGCCCGTGCCACCTTTAGGGTGGCTTAATCTTTATCAATCATCAATCCCTCACAAGACCTCTCTTTCTACGTCTCCCGTGATGAAGCAATCATTGCCGTGCGTGATGTAGGAGGCCTATATTAATGTATTAATGTGTAGTCAAGCATAACTGTGAAGATCGCTCGCGCCAATCCATCTTCCTGATAAGATAGTAGGTTTGTGTAAGATTTGCACCATCGTTAAAATACCGACGTGATGGACATAAATAGTTAATGATAACCTGCAGAATACGCATCCTGGGGGAAGGTCAGTAGCTGGCCTAGGGTAGGGAGAGACCTAGATAAGCAGAAGAGGAGCCACAATAACGTGGCTGAAGTATCAGACTACACACTAGAAGGTGAAGGGACGACGACGTTTCGGTCCGTCCTGGACCATTCTCAATCGACTTGAGAATGGTCTTCTAGTGTGTGGTCTGGCCTAAGCACAAGCTTCCTGTTCTCGACAAGGCAATTGATACCTATACACCCACTGGGCTTATCCCCTTCACAAACCAAACAATACAAATCATCAAATTCAGCCAATGTTGGTTAGTATGCCAAGGGCTCCCCCTCACAATAAACATGTTGGAACACCCCCCCCCCCCACCACAAAGCTGACTCCACCTCACATGTGACATACTGCCACATCCGGGAAAAGCCAGATCCGTTACAGAGGCTGCCACAGACAGGGACGGTTGGAGGGGGGTAGGTGCTCCTGGCTACACCTTCCTGTGTCTGGCTATAATTAAATCGTAGCCAATAATGCTCCACAACGCTCAGTTTTTGACTCTCGAAACAATATATATATTGTTAAGTTAGGCTCTTTATAGTTTGAATTAGGTGAGACGGGATTTAAAATCCATTGGCGGTTCGCCGACGGATGTGGCTTATCTCCTGAATCGCCGTCAGATGGACCCGTTCTCCTAATAACACGTCGCATTTTGACGTATATTTATAAAAAAAACTGATTATAGTCGCTCCTGAAACTGACGTGAAGTCGCGTTTTCTGTTCGTGGGTCCTCGGGTATGTTAGGTTCGGGTAATTTAGTACACCAGTTTAGTGACGTTTGGGACAACAGGCTGCATGATGAGTGCTCATATCTTTAGGAAAAAAAAAAACTTCCTATTCAAGCCTCAGAATTCCGTGTTAAGTAATTATTGTGAACAAACTGAATGTGTTTGAATGTGAATGTGAAAGTGAATTTGAATTTAAAATTTTGAAAGAAATTTTGAAAGTGAAAGTGAATTTGAACGTGAATATGAATTTGAAATTTTGAAAAATTTTGAAAGTGAAAGTGAATTTGAATGTGAATATGAATTTGAATGAATGTGAAAAGGTGAAGAGCCTGGAAAACAAAACGCCCACACACGAGTCTCAAAACTGATACAATCAAACCAGGCAAACACAAGACAAACACCAAAGAAGCATTCACCAAACTTCGCATCAACGAATCAAATTCAAAGTAGGTACATCGAAGCCGCGTCCATCGCTCAAGCCACAGCGTCGTCGTTCCAATAATCAAAACATCAGTGCTGAACACATCACTAACGACAGAAACTGAAACCGACGAGATCATTTTATGTTGGTGAATGCGCCAAGTGATCGTGCGAGTGTGTAAGACCTTGTACACTGGTGTGTACCCGCCTAGTTGTGCTTGCGGGGGTTGAGCTTCGGCTCTTTGGTCCCGCCTCTCAACTGCTGTACAGGTTCCCGAGGGTATTGAGCTCTATCGTATCTACATTTGAAACTGTGTATGGAGTCAGCCTCCACCACATCACTTACTAATGCATTCGATTTGTTAATTACTCTGACACTGAACAAGTTCTTTCTAATGTCTCTATGCAACCCGTCCTCAGATCAAGTCCATTCCATCCAGCGGTCGACCCCAAAGACGCATTCACAAATTTTAACATGCTGTTCATTCAAAATAGGAATGTTCTCAAATATAAATTAATATTGCTATATATTAGCATACTGTGCCTATTTAGGCACGGGTTAGGTTAGGTGTTTAGGTTCTGTTGGCGATTATGTAGTACGTGGATGAAGCATTTACAGCGTTGTGGTTCGAACAGAGGTCGCCAGCAAAGAATCTGTTCCGGAAGTATTCGAACGTCATCAGTTGTGAGCCGCGTGTAAACCGTTTTTCATTCATAAACAGGGGGTTTGGCGGGTGCATGGAATGGACTTTTTCCATTGTTTATGAGGACGGGGTTCACTTGGGAACTCATATTCCACCAGTGCTCCCTAATGCGTGTGTCCCTCCGTGTTAAATGCCCCTTGTGAGTTGGGTCTTGTGAGCATCAGCTTGCGCACACAGCTTGAATACCAAGGTACACGCATGCTTGCATCACATGTTACACGCGTGCACAGTTTATTCACATTCAAAACACCAAGGAATATACAGCACCCCCCCCTACATACACACACACACACACACACACACACACACACACACACACACACACACACAGCCCCAGCTGCCAGCCCGAAAATACACCCTTTACTTACCCAAGCACCCAAACGCATAAGCAACCCCCCACCCCCGCCCCGACACACACACCAACATTTTCAGAGATGTGTGAATATATACACAACTGAATATGCATGCAATATCCGCCGTATAAACACAGTCCATGATCTCTAACTAGGATATACAAGAAACACATCAGCAGCACGACTCAAGAGTCAGTGCTTGTGGGAGTTGATACGTTGGTTGGTTGATGACAGTTAGTGACGGAACTGTGAGTGAGTGACTGACTGAATGAGTGACAGTGAGTGACTGAGTGAGTGTGTCAGTCATGTTAGGGGCAAGAGGGAGTGAGTCGGTGTGTCATGAGAGGGGAAGGCGTTGGTGTGTGTCAGTCACACAAGGGGAAGCAGGAAGAATGTGTCATACAAGAGGGGAAGCAAGAGGGACGGGTGTGGAATTCAAGGATAATAACGCTAGGGAGGGCAGTGTCAGCGTTTGCGTGCGTCTAACTACTTGCAGGGAGCAAATTGCGTGGTTCTTGGGGCACTGGGGATGGCGGGGTGGATGAATTTGTGGGTGGGGGGGGGGGGGGGCAAGATTGGAGGGTGAGATGTGAGTATGACGGTGGGTGAGGTCTTGCTTCCTCAGCCTCTCCTAGCACGGTCTCCTAGCAGCCCAGTCCTCCCAGCATGGTGAGGCCTCGCACCCTCAACCTCTCCTAGCAGCCCAGTCCTCCCAGCCCGGTGAGGTCTGGCTCCCTCAGCCTCTCCTAGCAGCCAAGCCCTCTACGTTCAGGGATCAATGGGTGTTGCGTGTGCGACCATGCACATGCATGCATGTACCCCAATGAACACAGGAACACAAGCCCCACAATTAAAACCCACAATACCACTTTGGTCATACAACCCCACCCACTGAGTATATACAGTTCCACCCACCATGAAACCCCCACCCCACACCCCACCACCAGTCAACCCCCCAAGGGTGCCAAATCGCTTTTGACATCATTCAACGTCGTTTTGACACCAAGTGACATTTTGATATCATTTTGACACCAAATGACATCATTTTGACACCATTCAAAAGGATTTTCGTACACAAAATACACACACAAAACGCTTGTAATAATCCTTTGGTGTATTAAACGAGACGAGAGAGAGTATCTCGCGGACGGGAAACAGAGTGTGATTGTGAGACAAGACATTTGATTAGAGCGCAGAAAAGCCTGGTTCACAAGGGTCGGTATCTGAACCACTGCTCTTTCCAGTAGAACTAAACCCTGGGCTGGAATAAGATTATGACATCACACACCCCTTGTGCATACCATATATAAAACAACATTGTATCTCTTATTCTAGTTAGGTTACCGATGACGTAGGATGTTGGAACTTTGCTCATGTCTTAATATAAGACTCTACTCGGCCTTACTCGCCCTTTTTTACGTAACGCACCTACACGAAGACCTGGGCAAGCCCTTGACCCGGGCAAGCCTTTGACCGGGCAAGCCTTTGACCCGGGCAAGCCTTTGACACGGGCAAGCCCTTGACACAGGGCAAGCCCTTGACCCGGGCAAGCCTGAGACCCAAGCAAGCCTGAGACCCGAGCAAGCCTGAGACCCGAGCAAGCCTGAGACCCGGGCAAGCCTGAGACCCGGGCAAGCCTTTAACCCGGGCAAGCCTTTGACCCGGGCAAGCCTCAGACCCGGGCAAGCTTGAGACCCAGACAAGCCTCAGACCCGGGCAAGCTTGAGACCCAGGCAAGCCTCAGACCCGGGCAAGCCTCAGACCCGGGCAAGCTTGAGACCCAGGCAAGCCTCAGACCCGGGCAAGCCCCAGACCCGGGCAAGCCTCAGACCCGGGCAAGCCTCAGACCCGGGCAAGCCTTAGACCCGTCCACATTCCACCGGCTGAAGACACTGACCCGAGGTGAGAGAGACGATGTTCCACCGGCAAGGTAAACACCTAGGCGGTGAACCTCAACAGTCACCCAAGAGGACAAGTCTCAGATGAGGAAGGTCATGAGAGATACGAGAAGTTACCAGCAGGGAGCGCCACAGGGCGAGCACTTGGACCCATCATAATACTGTTCCGTGCGAACCCTCTTGCCAGAGATGACGGACATGACTAACCCATGTTTCCAGATGCTGCGTCAATGAGGATAAACTTGGTGGGTGACTACAAGCTCTAAATATGTCGAGAAACTTTAGTGATATGAAAAGTGGTTGCATGACTTAAACTTCAGCAGCACATGCAAATCAGTGAAGTTATGTGTTGGGGGGACAGAGCCAGATATAGGGTACCAACTGCGGTGAAAAATGCTCTTGGTGACAGAGACCTGGTGATAAACATCACAGTAAACCTATCTTCGGAACCCCACTAAGGGGATAATGGTAGCTGTATGTGAAAGCTTGGTCAACACGAGGACTCCTGATATGTTATATTAGAAAGAACGTCTTCACTATCAACAATACGAACTAGGATGTGAAGTGGGGCGAAGCGGACTCCATACATGGCCACCAATGTGGCTACGAGCGAGCTCAAACGGGTTTGGGAACAAGTAGAGTAGTTGACAAGAGTTGAGAAGCGTGCCACAAGACCTAAAGTTCAACCAAAATAAGCATAACCAGATTGAGACTACATACACGTGTCCATCTCAACAAAACAACTTGGAAGACTGATGCAGCATCTCAGGTCTACTTGATATCACCTTAGAACTAAGGGATAGAGAGCCGGGGGCGTGGCAGGACCCGAGGCGGCGACTGGATGGGTCGTCCCTCACTCACATCCAAAGCTGGCATTGGGTATCACCATTCACCTGAGGTTTGGCGTGCGTGCGCTCAGGTACCACTGCCTGTCCATCACGTGCGTGCGCGAGAGCGCGTGCGTGTATGTAGGTACAGGTATGTATGAAGCAGGAAGAGCGCCTACGGAGCAGAGGACCTCTAAATACCCCAGGTGGTGCTTCTGCCCACATACAAGATGAAGGCCAGTCAGGTAGACAGGGAGTGAGGCAAGATGCGATGGAGGCTGTGTGTGTGATGCGAGTCTGACATTCAGGGCACAAACGAGATCTTGACACGACACACACATACAGGTAAACGTGCTAGCCGTTGACATCACATACACGAATACAACACCAACACTGCCTGCCGTCTGATACACACAGGAGACACCCGGCGGCCGCAGTGAGGGAGGGAAGTCGGGTAGCGAGCGGTGAGATACACTGTCAGGACAACACTGATCCTGGCCGGCTGGCTGGCTGGCCCCGGACCCTCGCTCCAGGTGATGATAACGCCTCCAGGACTCCCGCCTCCACCTCCACCACCACCACCACACATTGCGCATGCCCACCTCTACTCCTCCATTAGTCTCTTCTCATACACTTAACATGTATGATGGCGACCCTCTGGCACCTTATACACAATTACACACCAAGCCTATTATTATGTTTACCCTCTAGAGCTGCTTAGACTCTAGCCTATTAGGGCAAACGATTCATCGCTAACAATAGGGCATTGGTGGAGACTGGAAGCCCAAACGAGACGAAGACACTTAAGGAAATACTCATGCTCTCCTTCCTCAACATGAACGCCATATCCGGAAAAGAATTCGAACATCAGAAGAGTACTACGCAACAAGTCGAGCCAGCGAGGTTTAAACAACTAGGCTTCACTCCTCTGCATACACTGACAGTTAAGCGCTGGAGGAACGGACGCACTTAAGTCTGCCAATAGCTTGACTAAGTGCGGTGATTCACGAGCCAGTCGGCTGGCCACCACGGCCTCGGAGCACGCAACTCCCACACCACGAAGACACACACACGGTCGATCTATAGTTTTTTCAATCCCAAGTGTTCGAAGCTATTACTCGAGACGTGCTTAACTCGCTTTCTAGTCTCTATTCACTCGCTCCCAGTCTCTTTATTTACTCGCTCCCAGTCTCTTTATTCACTCGCTAAATCTGTGAAACAAAGATATCTTAGCTAATCTTTCCTAGGGCTAAAAGCCTCCAATATATAAAACGGAAATATATTTGAAAAACTTGTTTGTTATTGTACTACTGCATGACATGCTGTCAGTTGGTTGCCAGATGTACAAGATTCATCCTGTCAATTTGTACTATTGCATCGGGATGGAGGATGGGTTCTGATTTAAGGAAGGAGGCGGGGTAACACAGCCTCAGTAACGTCACAACACAGGGGGGGGGCAACACAGCCTCAGTAACGCCACAACACAGGGGGGGCAACACAGCCTCAGACGTCACAACACAGCCTCAGTAACGCCACAACACGGGGGGGGCGGGGCAACACAGCCTCAGTAACGCCACAACACGGGGGGGGGCGGGGCAACACAGCCTCAGTAACGTCACAACGGGGGGGGGGCGGGGCAACACAGCCTCAGTAACGTCACAACACAGGGGCGGGGCAACACAGCCTCAGTAACGTCACAACACAGGGGCGGGGCAACACAGCCTCAGTAACGCCACAACACAGGGGACGAGGCAACACAGCCTCAGTAACACAGGGGCGGGGCAACACAGCCTCAGTAACGTCACAACACAGGGGCGGGGCAACACAGCCTCAGTAACACAGGGGCGGGGCAACACAGCCTCAGTAACGTCACAACACAGGGGCGGGGCAACACAGCCTCAGTAACGTCACAACACAGGGGCGGGGCAACACAGCCTCAGTAACGTCACAACACGGGCGGGGCAACACAGCCTCAGTAACGTCACAACACAGGGGGCGGGGCAACACAGCCTCAGTAACACAGGGGCGGGGCAACACAGCCTCAGTAACACAGGGGGCGGGGCAACACAGCCTCAGTAACGCCACAACACGGGGGGGGGGGGCGGGGCAACACAGCCTCAGTAACGCCACAACACAGGGGCGGGGCAACACAGCCTCAGTAACACAGGGGGCGGGGCAACACAGCCTCAGTAACGCCACAACACAAACTCCTCTTACTGCTGTGGAACCCCATAAAGAAAACCCATTTAACCCCACGATGGTCTCGTGTCAACACGTCACCGCGGACGAGCGAGGCTCCTAGAGGCGCATCAATCAACAGCTGTCCCCGAGTGTGAATAGCTAATGTACATTTGACGGAACAGTACATTGCTGCCACATCGGGCAGACACGATGATGAGAAGAGTAGCAGGGAAAGTCCCCCCCGAAGAGTCTTGACAGTGGTGGTGTGGTGGAGGCAGGGGAAAGTCCTCAACACGGTCCACTAACATACATCCAGTGGCGAGGCCGCCGCCACAGTAACCACCACTCCTGAGGTAGTCTGGACAACACCGGTCACCATTCCAACGGCTGTCTTAACGCCACACACACGCAACCCCTCGCATGATTGATAACGCGAGGACTGTAAGGAGAGCGACACGTACATCGGAGCTTGGCTGAGCCGTGACTGTTCTCACTAGACCACGGTCCAGCTGACCCCAGGGTCACCACCACCACAGTCTTCCACGCTCCCTCATACATTCCCACACTCCTCTTAACACCATCTACGCACACCAATACTCAACGCTTCCACTCGGGGGCAGAACAAACTGTAATATGCCTGGATTGTACCTGGATGCCGTTCTGTAAAAGCGAATGGAAAGTGAGTTTAGACCGCTAGCCACCAACATCACACACCACCACCACAAGCCCTCCCTCGCTCTGGTAACAGGTTATACCAGTAAGGCTTCCCCCGCAGCACCCACATCAACTCCTCCTCCTCTCTGGGCTTAAAAGGAAACATGTCCCTCACACTACCACCATCACACACGTTTCATAAACAAGCTCAACCAGGTTAAAACAAAACAAAAAATCCCTTAACCCCCTACTCGAGACTTTGCAGCTGTTGTTGTTGTTTTAGATTCAGCTACTCGGAACAAAAAGTTCCAAGTAGCACGGGCTATGGTGAGCCCGTAGTGGACTTGGCAGCAGATGCCCCAATATAGCACCCAGAGTTAACAGGGTCGAATCTTTAATATTACACATGCTCGGCGCATGCGCACTAACGCGAATACACACACATCAAAACAGTTTCCAGTACTTCAAAAGTTACAGGAGCAACTGGACGTCATACATTTGTTTACGATAATATTCAGTTCTATAATACCGCACGTCTTGTCCTACTGTACCATGTGTCCTGGCCTTCAAGGATAGGGGGGGGGGAGTGTGAGTGTGTGTACTCAACTATTTATGCCTGCAGGATCGAGCGTTGGCTCTTGGATCCCGCCTTTCTAGCCGCCGGTTGTTTAAAGCAATGATTTTTGCCCTTCTCTATCATACCTAGTTTTAAAGCTATGAATAGCTTTAACAACCTGCTCCTTAAGTTCATTCCATTTCCCGACTAATCTCATGTTAAAAGAAAAATTTCTAACATCTCTCTGACTCATCTGAGTTTCCTGCTTCCACCCATGTCCCCTGGTTCTGTTAGTATTCAAATGTGAACATTTCATCTATTTCCACTGTCAATCCCCCTAAGTATTTTATGTTTATCAAATACCCTGCCCCCTATTTTCTTTTTTCTATTGTTATCAGTTTCAGTTCCTTCAGTCGCTCTTCATACCCCATCCCTCGTAACTCTGGGACGAGTCTCGTCGCAAACTTCTGAACCTTTTCCAGTTTCCTTATGTGTTTCTTCAGGTGGGGGACTGACTCCATGATGGCGAGGCATACTCTAAGACTGGTTTCACGTAGACAGTGTAAAGCGCCCTAAATGCCTCCTTCCTTAGATTTCTGAATGATGTTCTAACTTTTACCAGTGTAGAGTACGCTGCTGTACTCTACACTGGTAAACACTCTGGTAAATACTCTACACTCATGCTGTCGATATCCTATTTATATGTGCCTCAGGAGTAAGATTAGGTGTTACGTCCACTCCCAGGTCTCTTTCTCGAATCGACACAGGTAGGCAGTTCCCCTTCATTGTGTACTGTCCCCTTTGGTCTCCTATCACCTAATCCCATAACTTTACATTTGCTTGAGTTTAACTCCAGTAACCATTTCTCTGACCATCTCTGCAACCTGTTCAAGTCCTCTTGGAGAATCTTACAATCCTCATCTGTCACAACTCCTCATTAACTTTGCGTCATCCGCGAACATCGACATGTAGGATTCTACACTCACTCACGCATTCATATTCCTCACTCACGCATTAACCTGGCAACAGGTTAAGTATGTACAGTAATTATCAAAAGGCGCCGCCAAGCCGGGCAACCCAGAATGCAAGGCATTTACAATGCCTTTGTAAAACCAATAACTTCCCAGAGTCTCTTCTGGATTATGGAATCACACCCTCTGGAACACGTTGTTCTGACCCTAAGGCCTCAAGTCAAGAGTAATTGATCATCCAAAACTAACTGGTATGAGTTCTAGTGATGATGTGGTCTTGGTGACTATTTGGTCCTTTGACGCCAGCCAATAAACAAAATTTAAACCAGGTGGAGACCTTTAAAGCCAATGAAGTAAGTAATTATCAAAAGAAGGCACCAAACCGGGAAGGCTATGTAGCACCATCAGTGTGCGGAATAATCAGAGGGCGCTAAATATCACCAAGGATGCCAATACGAGAACAAAAACGCATAAGGCGAACGATATCACAAGTATCTGAGTCATCAAGAATTCTATTGAGGGACAGGTGACCGCGAGGGGCGGTCGGAAAGCAAGACATACGCTCGTCCTGGAAGTCAGGACATTCAAGGACATAAAGCCAATGAAGAGGCTTTGGAAACCAGTTAATGTGTTATATGAAGTATGTAATGCTTTAAACTAGTTCACCTGACACCACTACGACCACCTAGTGAGACACTTCGAGCAGTTTGGGTGGGGCTTTATCAACCCAATGTAATCAAGACCTTTTACTCCACGTGGGTAGGCTCTTGAAGACCATGTGCCCTAAATTGAAAAGACCTTGAAAACCATCTACCCCAAATAGGAAAGACCTTCAAGACCGCCTTTCCCAAGTGGTCAAGACCTGAAGACCATCTACCCCAAAAGTGGTAACCGATAATCACAGAGGTGTTCCCCAGAGCTCATACCTACCACAGCTGCGCCCAGTGCACAGCTGTGTGACGAAGAAACCGGGCGAATGGTGCCCCTTTACACCTAGTACTGTATTATGCCTTAAAATCCAAAAGCTTGCACCCTCAACTGGCCTGTAAATTGGCCTAAATTTCCCAAATGGCAACTTTCTTTGGTGCGTTGTATGGAGCACTTGCATGTAAATTTGACCTGAATCGGGCTAGTTCTCGCGAG